CCGGCATGGCCAGGTGGTTAATGAGGTCGACTCGCAATCTGTGGGTCGCGGGTTCGAACACCCGTCACACCAAACATGCTCGCCCTTTCAGCCGTGGGGGCGTTATAATGTGACGGTCAATCCCAATATTTGCTGGTGAAAGAGTAGCCCAAGAGTTAGCGGTGGGTGGTGATGACTAGCTGCCTTTCCTCTAGTCTTACACTGCTAAATTAGGGACGGCTAGCGCAGATAGCCCTCGTGTAGCTTTGCGCGGAATTCAGAATAAGCCACAAAATAAATTTACTGTATTTTTGAATTAAAATGATTTTATGTTCTTCAATTTACTTGTTTGGTTGTAATTAAGCACAAAGCTACACAATAGGCTATCTGTGCTCTGCCCCACCTCTGGTATCGAAACCCGGTTTATAGCATTGTAATTCCGCAGATATACCGCTGTGTCACTGGGGGGGGGGGGTTCTTTGAATGGCGCCTTTCGAAACACTAGTTGCTGTTTTTTTTAAATCGTGCAAGTTATGTTTGTTTCTAATGCTTAAATTCTTAAATATTTTTACCTTATCTCTTTCTCCACGTTTAAACTTGCAAAGTGTTTAGATGATGTTCATGATTCATTATTCTCTCAAGTAATGCAATTCACTCAATTAAAATAAGAGGAATTGACATGCAATTTAGTCATGTTTTGAAATAAATATTTTCTAATGAAGAAGAAAGACAGGTAGTGGCAGTGTACTGCTCTAGTTCTATAATTTTCAAAGGTTTTATGTTTACACATTGGTTGTGAAGGCACGCGTTCCAGCACATGACACGTGGCAATACCAACTTAATGATTTAATAAAGTGGGTGAAAATAATAAATAAAACCATTACAATGACTCGACCAACAAACCTTTTTTTGAGGACAAGTAACGCAATGTTATTTTGAATAAGCCTTTCCCATGTTAAATTAAATTCTTCCAAGTATGACTTGCAAGTTTCCACACTGTTCTTGCTAGATAACACTTTGAGAACTGCTGCAAACATTGCTATATAGTAAGAAATTCATAAGTTGAAGTAAAACATTTTTATACCTTCAAAATAACAAACTTATTTGAAAACCTTTCAACATCGATGACACCTACATGTTGGATAATATTATTGACAGTTTACGTTTCTGCAACGCTCGTAATAAAAATAAAAATAAAAAATAAGATGAAATCAAATATTTTTTCTGTACAAAAATTACGAAGTTGTAGCAGTATAGCATAAAGTGCAATATTGGTGGTATATTTTTTGTTTAACTGTTGTTATTTGGGACCAACAAAGTCATGGACTCACAAGTATTACTAGGCACACGTAAGTCCAGTAAAATATGTTAAAAGACTCTTCAGAAATTCTGGAATTAGAAACGTTTACTTACGAACACGTCTCTGACGTCACAAATTGTTCTACTTCAACATTATTTACGATATAAAGCCATTTTTTCTTGATGTTTTCTCCTACTTGCGGCTTGAAAGTATTTAACATGGACGTACAGATCGGTTCGTCGGTGAGATCATCCGCGGAAAACTTGGTTCTTCCCTGAACTTCTGAAGACAGCTTCTCAAGTAACATCTGAAGTACATCTCCAGGTAACGAATTCACTGCTTCATACACGCGCAAACTAAAATAAGAAACATGTGCACAGAAAAACTATATTTTACATTAATGAAGGTTGTGAGTAATGGTTGGAAAATAAGTTTTACTATAAATGCATTTAATGTATGCGATAAACAGATGTAATATTTATCCAGACTCTTGAAGAAGTAACTATACGTCAAATTTTTGAAGAGAAAATAACTACATGGCTTCGTAAAGTTTGAAAACCACTGCTTTAAACAATAAAAAAAATAAAATAAAATACAAATTTTTGCACAACAAAGAAAGTGAAAAATTACATCTAAATGTTCAGATTGTTTTTTTTTTATATACGTTAATATCGCACGAAATGGAGATACGTTATACTACTGTTACGACAACGAAAGTCACGCGACGCTGGGAGAATGCGCGCTGGAGTTTCTAGAAGGATCGTGACTTATCGGGGAACCTCGCGAATGTCCCAGTGTTTGCTAGGCGCCCTCTTTTTTAGTATATAAGCCAGCGATAGATAGATATGCAGATATAGATTGAAGATAGAGATAATTAAATAAAGCGAACAGTAGGCACCGTAAGTAAAGTGTGGGAATCACTGTGATTTATAGCGTGTGTTATAAAAGTTGTATCTAGAAAATTAAAACTAATTTTAATTACGAAGGGACTTGTATCGCTGAAGTTTCTCGGAAAGAATTTTTATCGGAAATTATCAAACAAGCAGATACGTAACACTACTAATCAGCACATAGATAACTAATAGTTATGAAAAGTCAGGTTACACATTCTTTGCTTTCACTTACAAATTCTTTGAATTACGTTATCATTGAAGCAGTCACTACAGTCGTGAAGAGTTTACCGCAAACCACTTATATATATTTAATCTAAAATGTACTTTCAACTACATTAACCCAGAAATTACCGCCTTGTTTTGTTTTTTAACCTTTCACCTCTGGTACGGTCCACATATTACATCACACTGACCAGTTTTATAATTTTGTATTTTCTGTTACAACATTGTTAAGAATGAAATAACTAATTTTCTATATAAAAATACATAGTGTGAGTGTGAGTGTGTGTGTGTGTGTGTGTGTGTGTGTGTGTGTGTGTGTGTGTGTGTGTGTGTGTGTGTGTGTGTGTGTGTGTGTGTGTGTGTGTGTG